CCCATCGTCCATACACCCGGCCTCGTGAATCGATTCACCTCGTTTCTTCTACTCTACCCTACAACAGGACATGTTCTAGCGGATCGCCCTTTCTTCGACGCCACCCGGCTCGTGACCATCCCGTGGTGAAAAAGGAAGTGTCCAAGAAAAAAAAAAAAAACTAAACCCAATAACACTGTACCCGGGGGTTCGCGGAAAACAATGTCAAGGGGTCCCACCAAATTTTCCCCGAATTCCTGTTCCATAACAATTGGCCTGCAGGCGGGAGCCAAAAAAATTGGAATTTCGGGTCCAGACGCCTCTTGCCATTCTTGGGAAGTAGGGGGCGGGCTCTTCCAAGAAGCGGCGCAAATCGAAGGTCTCATCAGCAGCGTCACGAGCATATGCGTGTCATCGCGATCGGATGCTGCAGCTAGGAGCTAGACAAGTTGCTAGATTTCCCCAGATTGGCTATTCCTGCCTCAAACTGTTTCAGGGCGATTTGATCGCGGGCGGTGAGCTCTGCTGTAGATTCTGCTCCCCGCTGTAGCTCCACAACGAGAGACGCCCACAGGAGATGACCAGGGTATCGGCTTGTAGCTACGGGCTAGGCCTTCAATTCAAGTCACGCAGCAAGCTCCACCTCTCAGCGGTAGTCCAGCTACAGCGCATTGCGCAATCTCGCTCTCAATCAGAAACTTCGCTCTCAATCACACGAAAACCTTGTTTTTATCCCATATGTTTGCTTAATCGATTTTGCTGCGTAGACTAGTTATAACGAGTAGTGGTCGCTTGGCAGTCGCCAATCCAAACTTGCTGCACACGGGCAACGGGTTTTGCAACCCAGTCTCCACTTCTTTCCTTTCCAACGCCACCACTGAAAGACCTTTTGAACCCAGACCTGTGCTCTGTATCGTTTGTATCCCCTACCACCGGCGGATGAGCGATGCAGCGACTGGTGCGGAGGAACCACCACAAATTTGAGTTACCTCTGCGAGGTCCCTCGAAATTGGGACATAGACTGAACATGAAACGTAGCCTCCCATCACTGCTGTCGTCCCTCCATCATGCACGAGCTGCTATTTCTCACCCGCTTCTTATGAAGCTGCTCTCTCCTCGCTCCATAGTGTGTGTGTATGCGGTCACAGGTAGGAGAAAGAAATTTGCTCGAGCGAGCGCCGCGTAGTACGTGGAAACAACCCGGAGTTGAATCCCTCCGCATTGTGGTAAGGACGTACATGTCCAGTGACGCAGCAGTGCTGGGTACTGTGCACGGTGCTGGGTGCTCGGCAAGAACGCAGCGTATCCGAAATGGACAGTGAGCTTCGGGCACCTCGGTTGATTCTGACATGCGAAGCGTGGGACGTACGCTACGGCTTGGATAGTATCGCTTCAACGTGAATTATATCACGACTTTCCGTCGTGGCGAAGTTTCCCAGTACAAGACCTAGTCGAGACGTTTCCCCACCGCTCGGGAAGGAGAAAGACTATCGAAGAACACTATGTGTACAGCAGTACACGCCGAGGCAAAACGGAAACGACAAGAAAAAATGGAGCCAACTGCTCCCCTTCGAAGCTATACTCACACGAACAAGCAAGCGATCCTCTGTACCTTATCCGTGCGGGACCATGTCCATGCAGCCAAGCTCAATCTCCTCGGAACCCGCGAATTCAGAATGGCCCCGTATGGTCAATACGACCTTTTCGTGTCCCGAAAACCAGAAATTTCTCTGTTGCATGGGGGGAGGTCAACACCCGCGTAAAATCCACCCACAAAGTGCAAAGCATGGGCGGCACGTACAGACTCGTACCTCCAAGATCGTGCGTGGGGATGCAGTCGACCCCGCTTCAGGGACGCACATGGCTTTGTTTCCTGAAAAATAGAGTCCTTCAAGCGGGGTTGCGTCCTTAAAACTCAGGGGACGATAGCTCCCCATCCCCGTGGCCAATGGAGGCATGCCATACCTCAAACTACGCGTCTTTTGCTAAGGAACGGTATGGTATGAAAAATCGACATGGACGAGACGACTGGCAACCGTTTGTTGACGTCGAACACATGTACAATACTTAAATATGAGATGTACAGCAGTCCGGGACGTGTTGAAAACATCTGACTACATACAGTACAGAAGTTTGTACTTTTCCAACCAATGTATGTACTGCACAGCCGGCAGCGGAAGGAGGAAAGTCCAAGTTGACACATATTCATCTCATTCTTGTGAAACAAAAAAACAACGAGCGTATTGCAGCTTCGCACCGCGAGGAACACCAGTACATATAATAACTGTCCCGGCGCAGACCAAAGGCTACCCTTCGGCAACTTTTCCCTCCACATATCGCAAAGAGTTCCCTAAACCTCCCCCCGCGGCTTGGCTCTACGGCTCTGTTGAGTTTCATGAATATACGAATGAACGGTCTTCGAAAGAAGGTACTGCGTCTCACGGTACTCGCCGCCCCTTCCCTTCGCGTACAAATGGGATCGAACGTCCTCCAAGCGAGGGATGATGAGGGACGAGGTTATGCACGACTTTTTTTTTTTGGCGGCATCAGATGGACCGCTGGTAGATGGGAGAAATCTATCCATACCAACACCCAGTTACAGCTGCAGCAGCAGACCGCTCGCTTATCGCTAGCGCGATTTTGGATTGTTTTGGCGAAGATATTGGTTTTTGCTTGTTTTGAGAATTTTCTTGGTTTGTTTTGGAGAGATGGTAAAGAGGAATGAATTTGTTTTTTTTCGGAGCATGATGATGCATACGAGTAGGGGGGCTATTAGATATATTGGGGGTACTCGTAGCATAGTATGACGGTTGAGATATTAAGTACGTGCGTACGAAAATTGCAGTGATGAGATGCGGAGGAACAGGAACTTTCTACATATTTTCCTTGGTTGTGAGAGGCTTTTGGTGAGGATTCAGAGAGATTCGTTGTGTGAGAAAGCATGAAGGCGTGACTTGATACCGTGATGGTTTGACGAGCACGAGCACGCCCCGATTAATACAACACGTATAAAACACGTTTCCCAATACGTTTTTACCCATCCACGCCCCGTCATGGGCCAACCGCTCTATACTCCAAGCCCATAGAACTGGGCCACCCGAATTATCGATCAGGCATCTGTGCGTCGCTATTTCTGTACTCACTGTGGTGCGTGGTGCATGCAAAGAGCGGCCCGCAGGACACAAAAAGAGGGTTACGCGACAGAAAAAATGGGGGTACCCCATTATCGTACATTCTGCCGGGCCCCCTGGTGCTCAGCATACAAGGTTTCCTTAAAGCGGGTAGTTTCCTTAACGCGAGCGTCCTTAAAGCGGGGTCGACTGTGCTTCCAATTCGGTCACAAAATCCGAATCACGCAGAACAAAAATGCAGCAGATACCCTTCGCATGCCTTGGGCGACTCACCGAAAAGCGGACAAGAAATGAAATCGATGACGTAGTACCTGGTGAGGACAACGAGGTGGCCATTACTGGCAGCAATTTCTGCCGCTCCATGAGTACGTCAGGATACATTTCATTCATCACGCTTCGGCTTTCCTTGCTCTTTGACAGCAAAATTTAGGCCGGGGCCTCCACCACTTCCTCTCTGTTAGGGTCCAACCACTACTTCACGGCGAGCTCGCCGTACCCTTCATTCTCACCAGATTTCAAAGCAAAAAGGCTTGTCTAAACTATGCGTGGTGAGCTGTGCATACTGCTGCATATTCCAATACTCCGGCATCTACCTCGATGGGGCGGAGTTCGAACGTGAGTCCAACCACCTTTGAACGTTTTCACTTCGAACCCACACCATGCCCCCCCCTTCCGTCCGGAACACGCTTCATTTTGTCCCTGACGTCTATGTAGTCATCACCATCCCTGGCGTTCTTAAGTCTGCCAACTTGCTCCTTGTCCATGAGCTTCTTCAGTACTTCATACGAGGCCCTTGTATCCTTTTGCATGTCGGCATCGACATCCTCCTCACCCGACACAACACGAAGTAGCGCGTCCTCGTCGAGAGATCGGTCAACCAGCTCATCGGCCAACCCGTCTTTCACATTATTACTATTTTGTTTGCCCTCCGACAATTGCAGATAAATGCAGACATACATGAAAAGTCGATCGTAAAGGCCGTCATGCCAAGCCAAATTAACTCGATGCCCAATAGCTAGGAATCTTTGCGTCTAAGTCAACAAGACTTTGGTCGAAACACTACAGCTGAACTCTAGGCACGAACCTTAGATGGAGAAAAACGAACAAAACCCCAACCTCATCCACCCGAAATCAAACAAAACTCGGCCCCGTCTTCCCTGGTACCCCTGACACCGTATTGAACAGAAATCCGCTTTCCACCGAAGTGGTTAGGTTAAAGCTGTCGCACGCATATTTCGGCGCGCAAAAGTCTGTGCGGCATTGCTGATCGATACTGCCACCGGTCACACCAAGAGAGAAACATCCGCCGTCTTGCTCTTTCTGAGGCAACCCCCATTCAAGCCCATGTTCCCCCAGACCCCCGACACTGCCACCCCCTGTTCCTACTTCCTCGCCACCTTCAGCCACAAGGGCCAAGCCCTCCCCCCTCAGCACTCCCGACACCGTTTCCAACAGAAATCCGCTTTCCACCGAAGTGGTTAGGTTAGAGCTGTCGCACGCATATTTCAGGAATTCCGAGATGTTCACGTTCAGTCCTGCCGTTGCGTTCAGCGCCACCTTCGCGGTCACCACGGCCACCTTGGGAGAGAACAAACACAAGAACGGACGGCACAGAAATCCACCACAGTATCATTGTTCACGTTTTTAGCAATACATGCCGTGGGAGGAAGGGACGGAGGAACGATGGCTCTGAAAGGAGTCTTCAAGGAACGACTTCTTCAGATCGTTTCGGTGGCTACACAGGTGGCCATATCTCGGCGAGTGCAGAGGTACAAGCTCGCATTGCGCGGGCGTCAAGACGCCGAAAACAGGCGAACAAGATCGACCTCGAACCAGTCAGCGCCAATGATATGGGGATGGAGTGTAGACGCATCGTAGAACGCGTTTTCGTTTGAAGTTGGCGTCTTGTTTGAGAGTAGATGTGACAGATTTGCGTAGAATAGGGTAAGATGTTATCATGAACGGAGATGAAAGGGCTTTTCCAACACGGAGATGTAGCATGGATCAAAGCATTTGTTGGATTTCAGCTTTTACAAGCGGACATCAACGCAGTAGTATTTTTGCAAGCTTACGAACGCATATAGGATACCATCAGGATTGTCATTGGTAAGTTGAAGAGGAGATACTTTTACGATGTAAATGACAGTAGAAATAAGTCCTACATATGTTGTTGTACTTCGTATTGGTTTAATATTCATGTAGAGTATGAGACATTAAGTGAAAGTTTTCTGAGGTACATCTGCAATTGTCGGAAGGCAAAAATAAATAAATAAATAAATACCAGGAGGATTGTCATTGGTTTTATTTCAAGTTGAAGAGGAGATATTTTTACGATGTAAGTGACAGTAGAAATAAGTCCTACATATGTTGTTGTACTTCGTATTGGTTTAATATTCATGTAGAGTATGAGACATTAAGTGAAAGTTTTCTGAGGTACATCTGCAATTGTCGGAAGGCAAAAAAATAAATAAATTCCTTACAACCCTGCCTTCGTCCAAGGCCACCATTTCTCAGCAATCACAAATACAACTCGGAAGGTATTGGCGGGGACGAAATCCCTTTTAGAGTGCGACCTCGGCTAAGAACGGAGGGAATCGGAAGGATACGACGACTCCGACCGGCCACTTCCGACATCCTTGCCTTACCTGCAGCACAGTCGATATTTTCTTGACCCATCCACGCGTCTCCCAAAACCAATAGCCTTCGCCACCGTAGCCGCACGGCACCTTAGTCATGTCGACCGGGCCCAAGAAGTGCAGCATCATCTCCTTCTTCTCTACGCCACGAAGCTTGCTCAGCACCCTCTTCATCCCATGCGCTCTCGACGGCGTGCTACCAGATGCAACTTCCTCTACCGCCGCAAGGCGAGGGTATAGGTAGTTCGGGGCCTGCAAGTTCTTGAGGCGCATAAGGCTTTCCTGGGTGTTCTCGAGCACATTGTCCAGCCTTCCGCAACCCTCCCCTCATCTCGTCCTAAACGTCACGCAAACTGGCCTTCATCTCTACAATTCCTCCCATAAATTCCCCCTTCACGTCACGCAAAGTCGGCCTTGGCGCCTTCAAAACTTCCCCTCACCTCTTCCTGAACATCAGCCAAATCGCCCTTCATCTCGTGAAAGCCTCCCTCATCTCGCCCTTCACATCACCCAACCGGCCCATAATGCCGTCAACTTCTCCCTCCATCTCGTTGAACCCTCCCTGTACAGCTATCGCCACGCCATCAATCTTTTGAATCAACAAGTCCTCCTCCTTGAAGCTATTTTGTGACAAAAGGCACAATCACAAGCACAAAATGGCACAACATAATAGACGTGCTTTTAACTGGAGTGTTCAGTACAATTTCTTCGCCCCCGACAAAAGCACAGGCTATATTTCATGAACAGTGGAGAGACACCAGGAGAGGACCGGGTGGTGGTGGTGGCACTGTGTAGTAGGTCATGCAAATGTTATGTTTCACTGCTGTAGGTAAGCCGTTGACGAAGGGGGGCCTACAAAGCACGTCGCATAGCTATGTGTCACAGTGCCGTTCCTACCTACCGTGTAACCGAGGGCAGTACTTGTGTCGAACTTTTGCGCAGACATAACCAAGCTCGTTCTTTACCAGCGAAGACTCAGACAAGGGAAAAACCAAGTGATGGCTCCTATCCTTACCTGTGCTATGTATTCCTTTGTTCCTGCCATTCCTACGCAAGAACAAACCGGACAAAAACCGCAGGTGAAATTTCGCCACAGGACCACCCATCGCCAGCGGACAATGCGGAGGTGGGTGAGGTGCGTGGGCTTCGGGTGAAACCATCTGCGAATTTTCAATGGCAACTAATTCGTCTTTTATCTGAAGTCCACGTTCGTTCGTCACTTGCCACCATCGTGGTGCACCCTATCGAGCCAATCGCCCGCCGTTTGGCACGGCCGACGGGAATACAAGCCTCTTTTGACGTCAAACGATATACACAACGCCTGCAAGGAATGTACGCTTAGCACACAGTGGATGGAATCGCCCCCTACGGTACACAGGGCAAAAGCTTACAGAATTTCTCCACCGGTCTCCTCCACCGGAAAATTCAGAAAAAACCGCGGCGAAAAACACGTCCAATGTTCCTCGAGTATACAAACACCTGCACAACCGAGGCCTTGCAAACCGCCGGGCTGGAGAACGAGCACCGACCCTCCAGGTCGACGAACCTCTCCTTCAGCTCGCGGAAAATCACGTCTGTGTAAACAACACGAGCGACGGAATCACTCAGCACCCAATAACGTCGTTGCATGCTCGTGCCGTGATGCCAGCAAATTTGGCAGCCCGATGCGTCTTTGCGAAGTGTGTGAACGGGCGGAGGTCTGACGACACGCGTTCGAAAGCAGTGTTTCAGCCTTCCACGCTCGTATTGGCGACAGTCAGCCTCGATGACGACCCCACCAGGGCGTAGATTATGCAACAGCACAAAAGTCTCATGAGTCCATTGCATTGCTATTTTCGACCCTTTCAGGAGGGCAACTGGCTGGCAAACAGGAGATGCAGGGTTCACCGATGAGCACCATCATACCCTGACGTCAAATTCGTTCAAGTCACACACGCAAGCAACCTGTGTCATAAATGTGCACGCGAGAGCACAAAGTGAAGCAACTACACCGGGTTGAGCATACAAAATATAATGCATGACATGTAGTAAACATATTTGTACACAGGGGTCGAAACTGTCGAACAGGGTTGAGGCTTATCTTGTGGTTCGCTAGCAGGACTCCACTACGGTGTGCGCTGCAGAGTGGCGGCGGTCACGTCGAAGTGAAAACGGACGGTGGTCACTAATCTAAGACCACGAAAGAAATACGCTTGACCGCAACCTAAAACCTACCGACAGTCAAAGCGGAAAGCTGACCATATTCATAACCATATTCAGCGGACAACCGCGTCGTTCTTCATTCTATGCACACTGCCACAACCACGCAATCCACCTCTTGAGTCGCCACTCGCTGCATGACACGGCACGCAAGGAACAAACTTGCCGTGATCTCTAACCGCTGTGTGTGTATGTTGTTTTGCTGCTTGCTGTGTGAACCACGGCAGGTGATCTCCGGCCGTATAAACATACCTGTACGCCTGTTGTGACGTGTTCAGTATCGCCTAGATCATACTTCTATTACGCAAGGCTTTTGCGGAAAAATAGGGTGTAGTATCGCACACATCGGAGGTCCCGCACGGGGGAGTGTCAGAGACTGCCGGAACCAAATGGCATCGAAGCGATCGCACAAGTCGAATGAATCGTAAAAGGGGAAGCGAAATGTTTTACGTTGGATATGGTTTAGAACAAGGCCGCACACGAGTGCATTCACTCGAACATGAACAACCCTCCAACCTGCCCCCTAGTCGTACATACCTCGGTCAAATCGGATGTCGAACATCCGCACGAGATCGATAGCTGCAGCCTCGAGTCCTCTGGTGTCGGCGCTGCATTGTGGGCATCCACTGCCTTCCAGGAACTTGTCTCCAGGGCGAGTCACCTGACAAGTGACACCCCGTTCATGAGAGGGAAGGCGAATTTGCTGGCCAGTTTACTCATATCTCGACCCGAGTATTGGAACACCGACCGCTAGGTCCATGTTCGTTGCGTACATAGCCAAAATTCAACACGAATTGGGCAGACGACTCACAAATCCGGCTGCCACGCGACCCCAGCAATACCCTCCAAAACATTCGAACGGCAACGATATCCAGCTCCAGCAAATACCACCGGCGATGCAACGTGTAGAACCTCGGCGGGTAAACCACCGACACAGCTATATAGCCTGACACTTCATAAGCTGAGATAGTACCTCGATTGAGCTCATATTAGTCCGCAATGGTCCCACTTCTCGAAGGCGTTGCGCTTCAAGGACTTCCCACGAAAACAACACCATAGAAATAATCCGCTCTCACGTTGTACTGCCATTCCCAGCACAACATGTTGCGTACAAGATGTAAGCAATGAATAAACGAACATATTTACATCAGTGGTCAAATGACGACAAAATGCAGATTGTGCCCTACACCGTGTGCTTGAAGCGATCTCAAGTGAATCCCTTTCTCGGGCACCTATAGACCTCTAGGCTACGTAAAGGTTCATGGCTCACCTTGGTCGCCAAGAGCATCGCGTCGCCATGCTGAGGGCACTTCAGAGAGCCTCTCGAGCGTAGACCTGGGAAATCCCGCATCATCAAACTCACAGCAGACATGACATACGAAAGTGCCATCCACGGACTTGGAGTGCTGATGTCGCCGAAAATATTGGCAGTAGGTTCGTTGCTGGCGAATGAGTACTCCAAGGCCACGGCAAACATGTCGTGCCAGCCCTGGTAGCCGTGACCGTGATGCACAAGATCCCAGACCGCCAGAATGTTCGCACGCCACCGAGATTGCAGCACCGCGTAAACATCTTCTCTATTGTACCAGGCGGTACACCAAGGAAGGTCTTCCAACTTGCGCTGAATGCCGGGATGTGTTCCAAGAAGAATGTGTTGATCACTTTGCCCACACTCTCGGGGCAGTCTGATTTTTGCCTTAGCAGGACTACCAGGCCCTCAGCAGGATCGTTTTCGAGCGGGAACGTGAGACCCGATGATGCAAGGGTGGGGAGAACGTGCTCGGACAGGCCGTCAGGCCACAATGCACACGCCAATCTGGGTTCTAGCACTCCCTCGTTTTTGAGCCTGCCCCACGAATCGATGTCTAACGGATCCTCGAGGGTGACACGTGTGTTGCCTGTGTCCCCACGATTCACAAGCCCGTCGAAGGTCTCTTCGTCCTTGCGATTGAGCAAGGGCTTGAGGATTCTGACCAGCCAAACGACGTCCAGAAAGACAGATGTCTCGCGGCGAACGAGGGATCCATCGAACTCCCTGTTTGCGCAACGTTGCATGGTCAAACAGGCGAGTTGGTATTCCACCCAGGAGGAACTCATCCACACTGTGGAGTCAGAGAATGGGCGTCGCGACGCCATTTCCTATTGGGGCCAACGCACCTTGGACACATGCACAGTTTACGTTTGTTGACGATCACACGTACATTGAAATGCAGCGGTGTTAAGCTACTTCTGCACAGCTTGGATAGTAACTTGTACCTGTTCTTGGCGCTAGTGACCGTGATCTCTCTTCTCGCAAGCTCATCAACTGTCTCCAGCCACTTGGCAATGATGTCTTCATCCGCCCCACCCCACGTTCTGTATATCTGAAACTTTGAAATGTTTGTCTGTTTTAAGGAGTTCACCACACACCGTTTGCCAAACTGTTTTACATCAGCCTTTCGTTGGGTCGACTTCTAGCCTCGTGAAATCGTTTCATCGCCTTGGACAGAGCTTAAAACAAGTTGCCACCGTGAAGCAATGGTGACATTGCGGGACTGGCCGATATATGGTGCTATTGCAGACACTCCACGGGTCTCACGCTTGTCGACAGCTTCACACGCAGAACCCACGAAGTCGAAGAGTTTGACTCCGTCATCGAGGGCCTTGAGGTCATTCCGTTCCCCCTGTGATGTAATCGGCGGTATATCTGGCTGCAGATTTCGTTACGCCTTTGCGAGCTCTTTGCCAAGAGAAAGTAATTGAAATGCATGCAACCTCCACGAACGGGAGCAGCTGAATGCAGCGTTTCGCCGCGGTGAGCAACAGAAAATGACTGAATGCCTAGGAACGTCTCACAGCACACCAAATTTCTGTTTTTCGTTCAACGTGTCACTCGAACGACGGGAAAGGAAAATAACGCGGACGATGGCTTAATAAAGCTCGCACATATTTTCGGAACGTCCCTCCGGGGAGGGGAGCAACTCGTCCAAAGTTCTTATTCCGGAGAATCCCTGGGTGGGACAAAAAGATCTCCCTTTCGATGGCTGTGGGGCCCAACAATCAAACCGAATCGAGCTCACCGTCCAATCTCCAGAGCTTCAAGAACTGTGAGGGCAATGTCCCAGCTGCGAGGAAGCACCAACTGCGTTCCTCGAAGACCACCCCCGGCGGGTTTGTTGACCAGCCGGTGGAGCAAACTGGGCGCGGAGGCATCGTCAACATGGCCTCGCCAGTCGCACACCCAGCCGCCCTCCAGCGTGTGGTTTGCGGCACGCCTCTCGCCGTGCTCACGAACTCCTGTTGGCCGGCAGCTCGTGAGGCCAACACCGTGCTCCAAACGAACGGGCTGTGTACTATTGCGTACCCAGCTCGAAAGCCACATTCGACAGGCTGCTCCATTCTTCTGCCAACCTCCGGGGCGTTTCCGCAAACCAGATCACACTTCGTGGCCACCAAGATGGCGTCGTTGTCGGGAACGCGTCGAGAGACCAATCGTAGCCACTCGCACACTTGCAGTTCTTCCAGCTTGCGACAGTTTTCCGATATCTGACCACCAGTGTCGCGACCTCGCCGCTGCCCGAAAGCCTCCACGTTGCACATTAACACGCAGACCGACCGTGGCGTCATGAACATTTGCAGCAACCCGGTGTAGGCGGCCTGCAGCGGCGTGTGATAGGTTCCTTGTGGGTTGAATAACATTCCATGGCGTGTAAATAGCACGACAACTGTACACGATTTGCATTGATACATTCTAAGGCGCTCGAAACCCTAGCTACCGTAGTTCGTGAGCAGGATGCTGCAACCCCCCCACCCCAAACATCTGGGGTGTACAGAAGACCCCGACTCATTTGACGCGTAAGATACAATACATGCTTAGGTGCGCCACCCTGTCCCTGAGTTTCGCACCTAAACGCCATTCCAAATGCTGCTTTGGAGGCAACGTGCGAAAATGCTATTGAACATCACACGACACATCTTACCCCCACAAAGAACGTAAGGAGGAAATACAGGACACGAACGCCGATTTTTTTCCCAACAAATGGTGCCCCATTTCCCTGTGGCCACATCAACTCAGGGGTTGTCCATGTACCTTATGGTGCAGACCACAAGACGGTACGGAATCAGAGCTGCCAGCACTCCTACACCAAAATGAGCAAGGACTTCCCACCTGGTAATGGGCACTCTCAGGGGGGCGTCCAAAGGAGCGAGACGGGGTATTTTGGTTGGGCTTAATAGAGACAGTAGCCCGTCATTACGGCGTCGGCGACTCTTCGGTTTTCCCGAATAGGGGACAAGCACCAAAAACATGTTTCGCGCAAGCGCCGAGATGAACACGAAACTTCATGCATCCGCGACTACCATGTACACCACCTATTTTGATACGCATTACAGGTCGATGGTGAAGCAAGGCATGTATTCTATGTATGATGCTAGGAATTTGAATTTATTCAGTGGGGAGTGAGAGTACAATCCTCACGGGGGGCAAACAGGAAAGTTTGAGTGCAATATTTTCGGGCGCAGAACTAGAGCCTGGGCCACGACCTCAATCAACGCCTCAATCGAGCGCTAAGTAAAACCGTTCGAACAACGCCCGTCACCTGTCCAGCGCAATCGTACAGTCGAACGGATGAACCTTCGAGTTCCATGGGCTCCACGTCAGCGAAAACTGTGCTCTCCTCCTTCCAGTCGCCCGTAGAAGTTGCTTCATTGGCCTTCATGCTCTGGCACAGACTGCACGGGATACAAGTAGGTACGAGCTTCTTCCGTTCGGAGAATGACGGAGATCATTTCGGAAAAGGGTCGACGGGCGCGAAAAGACTGAGGCCGCCAAGATTGGTCCTCGAGCGCCAAAAGCTAAACGAAGGCTATTGCGAAGCAGGAGCAACACTGTAGCTTTGTTTTGATATTCTCCGCTTACAACAATAAAATTCCACCGAAAAGCAGAACGCCACCAGTTTGGTAGAAAAAGCGAAAGACACACAAACCATCAGAACTATCCGCGTCTGGAGCAGAGAGTGTTCAAACAAGGGGATTTCACGTTGGTGATCCCCCATCCTCAACTTACGCCAATGCGACATGCTTCTATCACGAGAACACATTGAAACTTCTCTCACCACTACCGCCATATGTACTGTTCTGTCGAGAAATGCAGGCAAACCACGATTTGATGCCAATGCACTAGTGGCCACGAGCAGGACCTCTACACCAACCTTGTATTCCCTGCACCTTCCTGCCCCACAAGAATGACGTTGACGCTGCTGCGCTGGAGCCGGCAGGGTTCGGCATACAGAACTTCGAAATATCCTCTGATACTCTTTGGGCCTTTGGTCACGATGGACTCTAGGGGCTCAGCCCATGGGTTATCCTCGAGACTGAGAATCCCTCCCTCTGCACGATCTAGGATGTCAAGCAATCGGCACAGCTGGCTAGGAATCAGCCCACCTACCGAGCAATGTAGAGTACGAACATTTTGGGAGGATGGTTATCACGAGGTCAAAGTGGAGACGCTCCAGCAAGCCTCAACATTTGGCGCTGAAAAATCCCAGTGCAACCTGCTCAGCGTTCTTTCGTGGTGGGCGTACAACGAGCGACGAAGTTGAAACGTGAGGACAGAGTATCTACTTTACGGGTGGGGCGAACAGTAATGGCGCACCCTAACACACAAGACTGCAGCATGTCGAGTGGATATTCGACGTCGATTGTGGTGCGAGAAGAATCACTCATGATGGAGCACGACCGATCAGGTGTTGCCTTGGATTGCACCCAACAGATATTGCTTGCTTGTCCACCCCGTCAATACTTTCCACCATAAGTGTACCGGAACACGACCTTTCTAGCCTGGCACTGCTGCTGGCATCGAGGACAGTTATTGCGACGTTTACCGCTTCCAGTGAGGCATACACATGCACACCGACCACAGTGAGACCTGCTGTGGCAAGGGCAATGCTGTGCGTACAGCGCCGTTTCCAGTCACACCTGACGTGCCGAGAGCTCCTTCTTCGTGGATGATATCTTGTATGTGGTGGGTGTGGTCCCAGAGAGCTATCGAGCAAACAGAGTACCAGACAGATCAACCACAGGGAAGACGGACAAATGGTGTTGCCTCAAGGTGTAGTGTCGTACAATACACGGGCTCAGGAAGCAGACAGCCTAGTGGATAAAACACACGTGATCGCATCGTACCCCAGAGCAGAGGAATTATATATAGTTGTCAAGACAGCATTGGCTCCTCCAGCATCAAAACAAACATGTGCGCTTCATTTCGACATTGATCATGGCTCCAGCATAAGGGGGGCCGCTAACGGTTGTCTCTACACCTGGGCAAGTTGAGGAGACATTTTCATTCATCCTACCCATGGCAATTACGCTGCATGAGCCACATGTCACACGCAGTTGTTGGACCCAGAGTCAAGTGAGAGTCGAGCCTACTAGGCGCAAAAATAGGCGGACGAGCCGTGCCGAAGAAGAAGGTCCTGCTTGCCAGCGCTATTTCGTTTATGGCACACAATAGGAACGCCTGGCGGCGTCATCGACCCCCCGTGCCATTTTCCTACAAGGTACGCCGCTCTATACATGCCAGTCAGCAAGACCTAATACGGCTCTCAAGCGTTCAAAGATTGCTTAGATGCAATCTTCAGAACAAGCGTTCGTACCTAAGGTGGCCTGCAACAATGCTGGAAATGGGTGCACATGTCCTGGAAAGCTTGGTACACGACAGGGTAGGTAGACAATGGGCGACGGTAGTACATGACACGACTAAAACCAACCACTAAAACGAATATACATCTTCTCTCTCACAACCACCGCCTGTTACCTGTTAGTTGGTTGTCGAACAGCACAATCCTCTTCAGGTCGGTGAGAGCTCCCAGCTCCTTGGGGATGGGCCCTCCACAAGCCAACACAAAAGAAACACAACGAAAAGAGCTAGAATATGGATCTTGCGTTGGCGAGTAGGAGGGTCTTATGTTCTAAAAGTCTCATTCATGTTGTAGAATTCGCTTGTTGGACCAAGCTGGAGACGCGGTCCCTCGCAAACAACACTCGCGTTTTGGTGTCCTGCACAACGCTTGCCCACCCACGTGTTGGAGAGGTTCATGGCGGATTCGTTATTGTTTCAAGGCATCTGAAGAGCGTTGCTCGTTCGCCGCTGGCACAGAGCGTGTCGCCAAAGCACTGGGAGATCTCAACCAGCATACCGATGCGAGGTTGGGCGATTGTAAGTCTGACTTCTTTGGAGTGCTTCGCGGGCTTCCTACTCTTGCCTCATACACGTATATACGCACATCAATCTAGTGGTGTATTTTAATGCACTTTCACCGCATTTCCTCATTTGCTGCATTTCCAATCCCGCCGGACTATGGTATTGAGGACTGGAGCCTCTTGCCTTCCACCAGAACCAGCGAAGCGGTAAGTCACTAGGCGCAGGTGTTTCACATGCCTCTGTATTAGAGGTTCATGATGAATTTCAACTACAGTATTTTCTACAACACGTTACGGGACGCATGTGCCAGCGGCAACAACGGTTGAGATTCAGACTCATTTGTAGTTGTGGAACTCACCGCTGAGCTTGTTTTCTGACAGGTTGAGGCAGCGCAACGCTGTGAGTTTCCCAAGCTCCTGCGGAATGGGACCTGCGGCCAGGGCATAAATACACACCCAACGGAGACAGCAAGCAAGCATGTTCATCAACGCGCATACCCCCAGAACCTGTGATCCCACTTCCCTACACGCCGGTGGGTGAATGGGTCGTTGCTCTTCTAGAGGCCAGCGGAGCCTCTCTCTACGTGTCGGTCAACACGAAACGGTTGCTCACGCCCGGAAAGCTGGCTGATTTCGAGTCGAAGAACTTCCAAGTTGCTGAGAAATCCTAGTGCCTCGGGAATACATCCTGTGCGCACGGTGAACAGACAGAACTTGAGAAGTCGTGCCGAAAACAAATCCGCAATGAATCCCGCCAAAGCGTTCGTCCCGATGTTGATCGAGGAAACGTTCAACATGTGTATGTCGCGTACTCACCGCTAAGCTGATTTCCCCCTAGGTAGATGGGACCTGCAGAAATAAAGAACAAATGAAATTAACGGGGGGGGGGGGTACTCATAGTCG